TTTCCCTACCAAATGGCCAGCTAATCCGGCATCATGTGTGTGGGGGTGTGAGGGCATTGTCTCTGGAGGAGGGACCTGTAGAGACATGTGATTCCATGAAAAACTATGTGGAGAATGGGAAGAACAGAGAGAGAGGAGCGATCAGAGGGCAGCTCCCAGGTTAAGACAAAGAGAGGCGTCCCATTCAAGGAGATAACACCTGTACACACTTAAAGTGATGTGGCATCCCTTAGTGTCCAGGCATGCTCGGTTGCTCACTCCAACAGCCTCTTTGCATCAGAAGCCAGGGGATGGTCTTTAGTGGTTCTGGGGCCCTGGGCAGAAGCTCAGGACGGGGCCCCAGAATCACTGCCACCCCACTGCCAACCTCCTATCTTGGACTAAGCAAAGTGTGGTCCTTGCCCCAAGCAAGATGGGCAGGAGCCACTGCTGCCGTTGGAAGCCAGCTGACTGAGCCCCAGATAAGGCAGGTTGGAAGTGTTGGCAGGAGCCTGCTCTTCTTTCTTTTCCCCCTCCTTCCGTGGTGGGTTGGGCTACGGGCAGCTGGGGTCCCCCCAAGCTCAGGGCCTGGGGCAGCTGCCCCTGCAGTCCATCGGATAAGACTGTCCCGGATCAGAAAGGGGCAGAATGATCCATTCGCTTCTGTTACAGTAATGTGGCAGGAATTACCTTTCCCCAGCAGAAGTGGAGTGGAATGAAGCAAGGGCCAGAGCAGTGATTCATTCAGAGAAATGGTAAGCTTTGCTGTGAGTGGACACTTTGGGCTCAAGGAAGCCTTAATTATTTATATAATTCATTTTACAGAGCTCAGTGTTCCCAGGCGTTCAAGTTTGATGTGTACTGGTTTAAATCAGGGCTGAACTGCTATCATCCTTGATGGTCAACTCCCCCCCCCCCCCAAGTGCCTGTAGTTTACTATTGTGAAATTTACAAAGCAAGAAAACATCCTTAGGATGTGGGAATAGTTAAGATATAATTAATTTGTATGGAGTTAATGCAGGATTTTGTTTGCATGGAAGTTGCTTCATATGTCTGCTTTTAATATTTTAAGATTCAATATTTTATGCCAAATGCCACATTTATGATAAAATCCTTAGATATATGGGATTTATTTTTTTTGTATTTTGGAATCTGTAAAGAACAGGGAATCAAGTACTGTGTTCTGTTTGCTATCCATTTTTGTTACAGATATTGATGAATGTCAGACCAGCAATGGTGGATGTGATCACTTTTGTAGAAACACAGTTGGTAGTTTTGATTGCAGCTGCAAAAAAGGCTTTAAATTATTAACAGATGAAAAGTCTTGCCAAGGTATGTGCAAAGGGACTTTCTGTCTGTCTGTGAGAGTTATGATTTGAACAATGAATTGCTAATAAGCTCTAGAACAATGTTCTGGAGTTGCCTTTATTCTCTTGACTGGCTGTTAAGTGTCAAAACATTTAGCAGGGACTTAGTTCAAACATAAAAAAACACCATTTTTGGTCATTGCATGAATGATTCTGGGAGATACCAGGTTTGTTGTCTTCTGTCCTTCTGCTTCACATAGCAGTGATTTAATTAAAATCTTCCACTTTTCACATCAAACCATGGTTTGTTATTATGTCTGAATTACCAGCTGTGGCTTGTTTCTTTCCCACAAACCAGGAATGAGAGTGTTCAATACTTGTAGTATTTTATAGGTTCATTCATGCCAATTACAAACCATAGTTTGTTATGTCTTTTACCATAGGGTCTGAATGATATCAAATGAAACCTTTTGTCGTAATCACAGGTTTTTTTTATGCACTAAGTAATTAAAAAAAATTTAGTCTTATTCTTATAGATCATTCCTATATCTATTGTAGCATATTTCATATAAAATATTCAGCATCCTGTTAGCAGGGGCGTAGACTTCTCAATTTCCTGGAGGGGGCATGGGACTGAACCTGGCCCAGGCCCATATAAAATTATTTATTTTTCCAAAAACCATATGCCATCAACAATTAATCATGTGGTTTTAAAAATATAATTTTTTCACTAATAGTCTGAATCCCAGTCAAAGAAAGAGGACTCAGAGGAGGAGAAAGATGAACTCATTCACTGAGACACTTAGAGTAAATATTTCATTTGTGTATGAAGGGAAATAATTCTCTCTTTTCCATTTCACTCTTTTCCTCACAAATACCCAGTGAGGTAGATTAGGCTGAGTGTGTGTGATTGGTCCATGGTCACATAGATGGCTTCATGGCTAAGTGGGGATTGGAACTCTGGTCTTCCCAGTCTTAGACCAGTACTTTAACAAGTACATCACTCACATATTCGATATTGAGTATGAATCTCCAAGTACATTTCAGAATACAGAGTAAATAGTGGCTTCTCAGATTTCTTGGCCTGAAAATACGGGAGCATTTGTTTAGCTGAAGTACAGTCCAGGACAATAGAATCACTTCACTTTCCGTATTTGGGAAACCAGCTTTTTATTCCCCCCCATGTACAGATGCACAAAGATAAATAAAAATAGCTAAAGACAGAAATATACCCATCTCCTAAATGTCTTTTTCTTCTCAGCAGGTCCCAGGTTACCAAAATCAACGTCCATCATTTGGGCCACAAGCCTCTGCTCACATATACTCCACCCCTAACCCATGGCTAAAGACAGAAAAATTCCTATTTCCTCCATTTTTTTTAAAATCTAAAGCAGGTTCAGGATACCAAAATCAACTTAACATCTACCATTTCATCCACAGACCTCTTTTCACCCCTCCCCCTGACGCACATGTTCGGGCAGCAGGCTTTTGGAGCCCACCTACCCCCAAACACAGAAGTCTAAATATAAAATGGAGATGAAATGGAAATATGTATTTATTTAAAGGAGGCCCTAGGTAGTAGAATAACCTTGTCATCTTTGGGGAACCACTTTTTCTCCTGTTTCTCCTGTTATCGCATGTGTTCCCTTTAACATGTATTTTTACACATGTGTGGACTCTTTAACTTGGGTTGAGGTCAAGACACACACCCAGAACCCCAACCAGTTATGGGGAATTAAGCTCACTGTCGGGGGTGGGGGAAACCTCTTCCCACTTCCACAACCTATCTAGCTTGGAAAATCTATTGATTTCCTGGCTCTGTCTGATGGGGGGGGGGGTTTCCTTTATTCTAACAAAAGGAGATTGCATCCAATCAGGGTGGACAAAAGGGCCGAGGGTGGAGGCTTTATTCATGCCTGAGGTAGGTTGGTAGGAGACATTCAGGCAAGGTCAGTAACAGTTATTATGCCCACCTGGCTGCTTGAGAGTAATTAGACTTTGCAGTCAAGAAGATTTGCATTTGCTTATGAAATTACCTTGATAGACCAAATTGGGTGCCTAGCTTTGCCAGCCCCCACACCCAAACTAGAGCTTTGACCTCACCTTCTCCAAAGGAAGGCATTGCTAACTCCTAAAATGGGTTTCTTCTCTATCCATTTATAGAACCTTAGCCATGTGTTCTCAAAATCTTTATTATTTCCTCCCAATATTGAGGTTAAGTTATCCACCTCTGCTGCTTCCAGAAGGTTACTTATAACTTCTTCCTTTGAGGGAGCTTCGCTTCTTCTCCAGGGTTTAGCATATAATATTCTTGCCGCTGTTACATTAAAATGGGTTTCTTAACAGACAAGTATTATCCGCTGACGGTCCCCTCCCCCTCTTTAGAAAACCAAACAAAACCAGCCCACTGCCTCCTGCGAACTTGCTAAGTTGCTATAAAAACAAACAGGACTGACTGAACTTGACAGTCTGAGCTGCCTCATAATATTGCCCGGTAGCCAAGGGGGCATTTCCCCCACCAGGAAATCCCAGCGGGGGCATGAGCCTTGCAGCCTCACACCCAAAGTTTACGCCCCTGGTTGCTAGGGATTTCTAGTCCAATTCATTTCTGTAGAATACATTTAAAATATGATTGGATTGTGTCCTAAAAGCAGGACAAAATTTAATATACACTGTCTTGCAGAGAGCATACAGAATGTACGAGTCTTCAGGCTAAAGTATTCCATGGACACATCTTAAGTTAGAGCGGATAAAAGGAAGTACTTCTTCACCCAAAGAGTGATTAATACATGGAATTCACTGGCACAGGAAGTGGTGGCGGCTACAAGCATGGACGGATTCAAAAGGGAATTAGATAAGCATATGGAGCAGAGGTCTATCAGTGGCTATTAGCCACAAGGTATAGATAGGGACTCTGGGGCAAGTGATGCTCTGTCTTCTTGGTGCTTGGGGGGGGGGCAACAGTGGGAGGGCTTCTAGTGTCCTGGCCCCACTGGTGGACCTCCTGATGGCACCTGGTATTTTTGGTCACTGTGTGACAGAGTGTTCGGACTGGATGGGCCTTTGGCCTGATCCAACATTGGCGTCTCTTATGTTCTTATCTTTACCCCTAAATTATTTTGTTGAAAAATGTTGATTTTGCTCATGATTTAATTAAAACTTCTGCCTCTGTTCATATTTGTTTAAAAGATGCTTGATATTTTAAAAAGAGATTGAAATGTTGATTGAAATAAATCCAGTGCCAACTAGGGTTGCCAAGTCCTTTTTCTTCTGTGGCGGGGGGCTCCCAGATGGCGTCTTCAGTTTCCCCCAGCGTGCCCGGTGTCATCACGTCACCTCCGGCTGACATGCACGCCGGGGTGGGGTTTCTCCCGGGGCCCGATTCTGCGGCTGCGGAAATCGGGCCTCCAAAGCGGAGGGAAATCTGCTCCCTGATTGAAATAAATCCAGTGCCAACTGCAAAAATGAAAAACTACATCTACAACTTGAGGGTGGCGGCGGCCCATAAACCCTCTCTCCACTGTTCATTTTTCAGTCCTCACCTCATCCACCATTTGTTTGTTGTCTGTGTACAATGTAAACTCTCTGGGTTGGAAATGGCTATATGATTTCTAGCACAAACCTGGCAGTAAAATATTAAATAATAGTTATAGTACACAGTAGTGAGTAACAAGGACCAAACTTGATAGCGCATACAGCTATCTGTAATATTTTCAACAGCGCCGTTCAAACTTAAGAAGCTGCTTTTGAGAGCATACAGGGTTAGAGAAGCAGTAGTGATGTGAGTGTGGAAAAGAGACTCTCAGCTCCTTCCCTGTTAGTCACTTACCCACTTGCTGTGTCCCCAAAAGTAATTTTTTCCTCCATGGGGCTTTATATGTGGGCAAACATCTATTTAAATCACCATGAGAAAAGCTGCTTGGGAAGCAATTTAGAGTGGAGAAAACATTGTCTGGCTAATGCTCATTTAAAAATGGTTTGTCCGATTTATGTAGAGCAGTCAGAGTAATGTTACATGTATATATTTGTAATCTGTGGTTTGTTCTTACTCTACAATAAATTGTGTCCATTTTCCTTTCCCCCTGAGGAATTGCATATGATCTCTTCCTGACTCCTCCTCCTTCCAACTTGGATTATGTGGCATAGTTTAGTAGGCTATAGTGAGTAGCTTCCAGAGAAGCACAAGTTATATTTTTGGAAAATATCTGTTGGCTGTGAACTAATTATCTTGTCTGAGATGCTAAAAAGCATTCCATTTCTCCACCATGAGTGGTATTTAAATCAATATTTGGCTGCTTTAGCATCACCCATTGAGTCCTATGTCAAAGACAGAACTTCATCCTTTAGTTAGAGAATATCAGAAGATAAAAGTAGAGCATTGTTTTATATTGTTTTTGATTTCTTCTTTACTGTTGAAAAAAGCATAAGAATTTGCTTTGAGAACACCAGCACAGTCCTTTGGCAAGCTTCATATACCAGCTGCTTCCTTAAAGGTTGCTACTTCAACACTTTTAAAAGACTGGCTTTACATTTGCTGCTCCTGCAGTTCTCCTAATTTGTAAATGTCTTTTTAGCAAGAGGTCCAATAATAATGTATCCCTTTAAACACTGCAGACATTGACGAATGTTCATTTGAAAGAACATGTGACCATATATGCATCAATCATCCAGGCACTTTTGAGTGTACGTGCAACAAAGGGTACACTCTCTACGGCCTCACACATTGTGGAGGTGAGTATATATAAAGTTATTGTGTGACATGCTTATTGGAGGGTCACTTAACTTGCTCTCTGAATCTCAAGAAGAAATGTGGGTTTTAAAACTCCTTGGTACAAGCTTGTGCCTTTCTCCTCGGCCAGTTCGGTAAAACATGACAGAAGTCTGAAATAGAATTCTACTGTGTGTAAGCTATAGTTTTGCCTAAGCAGCTTTCTACTCTCACTTTGTTAGAAAGCAACTGTGACTGTTAGAACAAACAGTTGCATTCCACACTTGGGTACTAAGAGCTGGATTTTGCAGAATGTCAGCACGCAAAGTACCCGTTGGTTTCATCGGGTATTGTATACAGTGAATACTTCAAGGCCAGGCCCTTGTCCAAAGAGGCTTCAGCAAACTGAATATGTTTGCCCTGCAATAGGTTTTCCCAGATGGAAAAAAAAAATAGGCCTGCTGAGAAAGATCATTTGCACTCCGTGGTACTTTTGAAAAAAGGGATCTGTTCCTGTAGGCTTTATTTCTGACTGGAGTCTAGAATGTGATATTGAGCCTGGCTGTAAGGATCTTTGAGCATGTTGTGTACACAGTAGGATACAGTCTTTGATCTGGAGCTCTCTGTTCGTTAGCCTGATGGCCTCCCCGTCTAGTACAGTGGAGGAAGCCAGACAATGGAAGCGCCAGTGTTCCCCAAATCTGCCCTAGTTCACATCGGCTTCTCCGTTAATTTTAAGATTGGGATGAATGTTCCTTTTGTGAAATCCTATATGTTCAAGGTGAGCTTGCACTTGATTTCATGTCATCCTACCATTAGTTTTGAAAGAAAGGTGAAATTCTGAAGAATCTGGTGTCACTGTGCAGGAATTGGTATACCTTGTGCTGCTCAGTCTGGCATAAAGCTTATTACCGAATAAATGTGGCTGAGTTTCAGATCAGGGTGTGTCTGGGGCCAGGGTGTCAAGCTCCAGTATTAAAACATGCCTATATGGGCCCAGGCACTGTTGAAAACTGTGGGACTTTCTCTAAATAAACACGTTGTGGATTGTGGCACTAGTGCACTTTCAAAAAGCTTTCCCAAAGTCATATTAAGTAACTTGTTATGCGGCGGCTCAAGTGGTTAAGACGCTGAACTGCAGGCTGTGGAAGGTCAGTAGTTCAGCAGTTCGAGACCCGGGTGCCGCATGACGGAGTGAGCTCCCGTCTCTAGTTCCAGCTCCTGCCAACCTAGCAGTTCCAAAGCAAGAAATTGCAAGTAGATAAATAGGTACCACTTTGGTGGGAAGGTAACAGCGTTCCGTGCGCCTCGGTGTTTAGTCATGCCGGCCACATGACCACGGAAACGTCTTCAGACAGCGCTGGCTCTTCAGCTCGGAAACGGAGATGAGCACCACAACCCTAGAGTCGGGCTCGACTGGCTTTCGAGCAAGGGAACCTTTACCTTTTATGCCTGTTCAGTTATGTGCCAGAATGGTACCATTTCCCCTCCCCCTGAAAAATACTTCTCCCCACATTTCTTTTCTTTAGATATTAATGAGTGTAGCATCAACAATGGAGGTTGCCAGCATACCTGCATGAACACTTTGGGGGATTATGAATGCCACTGTAATGCAGGCTACAAGTTACATTGGAACAAAAAGGACTGTGTTGGTAAGAACTGGAACGAAAGACAGGTTTTTGTCGATTTGGTTTGCTTGAAGACTGTGGTCTCCAGAGGATTTAGACAACATTAATCCATGCACTAAGTTGCATAGGTCAGTGTTCCTCTTATGGCAGGAGAAAGAAAATAGATTTTAAGAAAGTCCAAAATTATTTCAGAGCAGTTGTGGGTTTTTGTCATGGGAGGGTATGTTCCATTATCACCTTGTGTTAACCAGGTTTTAAAATGGCACAGAAACCTGTTTACCAGAGACAAGAGTGGGATGAGTGTACACGCAGCAAGCGGCAATCCCACTTTCAAATGCCATTCAGTTCTCTGAGAGATTTTTTGTATGTTTTCATCATACATTACTGCTTTGATTCTAATTGGCCACAGAGGATAACTGATCAAACACGTCTTTAAAAAATAAAATAAAACCAAAAACAGGAGATACTTTCGGGGTCTTCCATGCTTTCTTTCCTATGCTTTTAGTCTAAGCTGGTCATTCTGTTTTCTTTTGTTGTGGTTGCCTGGATTTTATATAAAAAGGGAATGGTGCGCAATGTGTTGTTTATCCAAATTATTACTAGTGTTGATTGCAGATAGATGTTGATTATGCAAAGTGTGTAGCTCCATGTTTGCATTTCAGAACCATACCTGCCATTCTCCTGTGAGTATCTGTGTTTTGCCCTGTAGAAAGGTTCTTGCCAGATGTCATTTCACCCCAGATATCTCTGCGTTGCACTAAGACTGGTGGAAGTGATAGGTGCTTTTTAATCTGCCCCTCAGACGTCCACTTTATCTCAGGTAAGTCCTGCAGAACAGTAAGCGTATTATTCAGACCAAAAGGAGAATACAAGAACAGCCACGCCAGTCAAAGCCTGGTAATATCAATCATTAAATAAGTATTTATATTCATGAATTTATAGTCATTCAGGTGTGGTCCACTTCCATTCCAGGAATTTACAGTTGTTTTTGTAGTGTTCCCTTAAACGTTGCCTTGCCATGTATAGCCTGAAGAATTGAAGGCACTGTATGTTTGTAAAACATTTATTAAGATGAAATGGTAGGATGGACGACTGACACAAGTGGTGTTTAATTGGCATAGGAATCAGCCGATTACCGTATGGAGCTTTTATTGCTGTGCTGAGCCGTGACACTTCTGTTGGCTGTTGTGTGTGTCAGCAAAGTGCTAGCCACAAGAGCTGTTCAGGACTTTGTGTGTATTAGTAAATTATGGGATGTCTCCACCTGGTTTCTACCAAAGAGTGGCCTGATAGAGCTCAGGGCCAGTTTGGTGTAGTGGTTAAGCGTGCGGACTCTAATCTGGGAGAACCGGGTTTGATTCCCCACTCCTCCACTTGCACCTGGCTGGATGACCTTTGGCAAGCCTTAGCTCTGATAAGAGCTGTTCTTGAAAAAGAGCAGTTTCTGTCGAGAGCTCTCTCAGCCCCACCTACCTCACAGGGTGTCTGTTGTGGGGAGGGAAAGGGAAAGGAGTTTGTAAGCCGCTCTGAGACAACTTTGGGTAGTGAAGGGTGGGGTATAAATCCGATCTCTTCTTCTTCTTCTTCTTCTACTGGGGAAGGTTTTCGTTTTTTAAGAATGCAAGTTTTCTCCCTGACTGATTTCACACAAGAGCTGCGCCGCAGTCGCACCTCCCTTTGCCCCGCTTCTGTTGGTCAATTTCCCACTCAAAGCCACACGGCTTTGCCCGATTTTCCCCGCAGTTTCATGATCCTCAAAAAACAGGATCACAAAACCGTGGGGAAAATCGGGCGAAGCCACGGGTCAAAATGCGGCCAGGCAGCTTCAAGTGGGGAATCGACCAATAGAAGCGGGGCAAAGGGAGGCGCAACCGCAGCACAGCTCTTGTGTGAAATCGGTCCCTGTGTCATCTCCCTGACAAAACTGGGTTTCTTTCACTCATCCTTTTTCCCACCGGGGCCAAGAGGTGGTCAGTCTACTGTCAGGAAAGTGGCAAGGAGTGGAAGAGTTTCAATCCCCCTTTTCTCAGCACTGTGGCCCTGATCTATATACCCAACTGCTTTTTGCAGCTAAATTACACAGTGTGAGATCCACTTATAGCCCCCACCAGTGCCCATGCGTTCCCCGGCCTGAGTTTGCCATCCGTGTGGCAGGCAAAATTGGTTGTATTCAGCTTCATGTAGGGATGGCTGGTTTAAACATAAAGTCAGTTTGAGGCAGGGGTCGTTTCGTAGAAAAAGAGCTAGGGGAACTCATTAGCATAACTCATTAGCATATCTTATTTCCCCTGACATCACCGGACGGTGGACCTGCAAGGCCGGCGGGAGTGCAAGCAAGCCCCACCAAGGCCCTCCCTGGCCCCAGGCAGGCAGGGGTGGGGAGAGGCAGGGAGGAAGCGACTTACCCTCCCTCTTCTCCTGCCTCCTCCTGGCTGAATGAGGGCCGGAAGCGGGGCGGCCGGAAGCAGGGAGCGGGGCTTCGTCATGTGCCTCGCCCCCCCGTACCTCACCTGGGGGAACTGCGATCCCCTCCGAAATGACCTCTGGTTTGAGGTATTGTCTGTGTGTTCCTGTTATGGATCAGTTGCCCATTTCCTAGTGGAATGATGTCCATTCTGCACAGCGGAGACTAGCTGAGAGAAGCTGGGTTCATTTACTAACTGGAATAATATTTGCATAGCTTAGAAAGGGCAGAGTGCCTGACAGCTTCAAATGGGTCCTTTCTTAAAATAGTAATCGCTGGAATATATTGCTGTCTAAATTCCAAAGTCTCCTTTTGGAGAAGATTGGTGAATGCGTAGTTTGCTCTACAGCTTCGTTGGGGATGGGGTGGGGGGAGAAAGGGAGAGTGAGTTTACCTCCATGGCTCTGGCAGATGAATCCTAGAGCAAAGTGCCACACTGGCTTCCCCCCCTAGGACTTTTGCCAGATTTCATTATAACATTGCTACTAGAAGGCCACTGAGCCATATTGTACAGAAAATGAGGTTTCATCAACATGTTGTTGATGTAGCTGTACTCCTTTTTTAAAAAACGCTTGTTGCGGGGAACATACACTGATTACAGGCACCTGTATCTATTTTCCTGCAAAAGCCCAATTACAGGCTGCGGTCACACATACGAAATAATCCACTTTCAATCCACTTTCAGCGCACTTTCCAACTGGGTTTTGTCAGTTCACACAGTAAAATCCAGTTGGAAAGTGCACTGAAGTTGGATTGAAAGTGGATTATTTCGTGTGTGTGACCACAGCCACAGTTTAGGAGAAGCATTTTAAGCCATGGAAGAGGCATGGGAGGAAAGGGTTAAACAATCAATCCTTTCCTTGTCTTAAAGGCTGCAAATTAGCCTCCTACGATGTGGGGTCTTTTGACCTCAGTTCTTATTGTGTCCAGTCAGTCATATCTTTGTAGAGTCAAGAAGCTGTTCAGAAACTTGAATGAGTTTTCAGGAGTGTTTTTCTCCAGTGCTCTAGCATGTATTTCTGTTTTATTGTATAGCTTTATGATCTGTCTCTTAGGCCTGGAAGATTCCTACACTATAAAATGCGGCAGACCTTCTCCATTTAAGAAAAAAACCCATAATACAAATGAGTCGGCAGTTTTAGGTAATTATCCAATGAACGTGTTATGAAATTGGGATGGGGTAGGGTTTTTTTTCATAGGTCTGTTACTAGGGTTGCCAAGTCGTACCTCGTCCTGAAGCGGGGGACTCCCGGGTTGATCCTGGAGCGCGAGCGCGCCACATCCACGTCACCAGGAAGTGACGCGACCACGCCAGGCATAGAGTTTTCCCTCAGATGACTGTGGCCCTGCCCCCAGTGTGCCCGGCGTGGTCGCGTCACTTCCTGGTGACGTGCCGTCCCCAGTGTGCCCGGCGTAGTCGCGTCACTTCCTGGTGACGTGCATGTCGGGGTGAAGTTCCCCCCGGGACCCGATCTGGTGGCGGCGGGGACTGGGCCTCTGGGCCGGGGGTTTCCCCGCCCCCCGGGGGGACTTGGCAAGCCTATCTGTTACCCAGTTAAAGAATTTTTTGTTGATGGAGGTTTAATAAATAATAAAGCCGTATAAAATAGAACAGTCCTGAAGAGGGGAGAAAGCATTCTCTCTTCACTTTTAGTGGACCCTTGCCACAGCTCGCACCATCTTAGAAGAGGAATTCCTTCTTCTATGAGGGAAAAGGAGAAATGCCTCTTCTGGGAGAGATCCTGTGCAGTTTCAGAAGTATGTTTATTGTTACTCTAAAAAAATCAGCCTCCCAGTTAATTGCATATGTGTGTGTTCAGAAGTCTTTAATCAGGATGACTAAAAATTGCAAGCCTAGTGTTTTTTGTTTTTGAAAACCTCTTCTGTAAGGAGGTTTGCATAGAATCCCGGAGAGGGGCCCCGGTTCACTGGGGAGGACGTGCTTTTTGTTGGAAGGTGCCCAGCTCAGGCCCTAGCATCACCTGTTAAAGATCTCAAGCTATCACACTGGGAAGAATCTCTGATAGCCAGTTGCATCCAGGGAACCCAGTGCGAGTCTAGACAGCTAATTGCTCTGTTTCACGTGGCTCCTTCTACATTAGAGGTTACAAGTGGGGACACGCGAGAAACTTGCAGGAGCTGCAATCCCATCCCCCCACCTTTGCTTCCTCCCCTCTCCCCCTACTTCCCTGTCTCTCACTCTTTCTCCCTCCCACCACCTATTCTCTTTCTCTCTCCTCTATGCCTGTCACTTCCTCTCTCTTTCTGCTCCCCACCCCACCCCATCATTGTTTCTCTTTCTGCCTCCCACCCCATTACTCTCCCGGGGGCTCACCTGTTTCCTCCCCCCCCCACAGCAGCAGAGGTGGCAGCCACTCTCCAGGAACCACAGGATCTCCAGACGACAGACCGTAGGGTGACCAGCACCACATTGGGAAATTCCTGGAGATTTGGGTGTGGAGCCTTGGGAGGGTGAGGTTTGGGGAGGGAAGTGACCTCAGCAGGATTTAATGCCATAGAGTCCACCCTTCAAAGCAGCGATTTTCTCCTGTGGAACTGATTCCTGTCATCTGAAGATCAGTAGTAATTCTGGGTGAACTGCAGCCCTTACCTGGAGGTTGGCAACGTCCCTTGGAGGAAATGGCTGTTTTGGAGGGTGGAGTCTATGGCATTATACCTGTCTGAGGTGCCAGCCCTCCTCAAACCCCACCTTCCCCAGGCGCTGCCCCTCAACTCCCCAGGAATTTCTCAACCTGGAGTTGGCAACTCTGCCTCCTTCCCATTCAACAGCCAACCTATCTTTATCTGCCCATCTGTCTTCAGCTTTTCATTCCCTCCTTCCCTGCAGCCTCTAATGAGGAAAACTAGTCTTTCTCCACAGTGGAGGACCAAAGTAGCTTGCATCATTCTCTCCTCCTTTTTATCTGCACAACAACCCTGTGAGGTAAATTAGACTGAAAGTATGTAACTGGTCCAGAATTACCCAATCAGCTTCCACAGCAAGATGGGGTTCTGAACCTGGGTTTCAATAGACCCCACTCTGAAGCTTTACTGCTACACCACACTGGCTTTTATAGGATATTTGCTGTTGAACAGTAGCAAGCAGCGAGGCCTAGGTGAGTTGTGCAAGTGTTAGTAGGAAGATACAGAAGGTGCTGCCAGGCCTGGAGTTGCTAGCCTCCAGGTGGGACCTGGAGATCCCCCAGAATTACAGCTTAATGCCAGACAACAGAGATCTGTCTCTCTGGAGAAAATGGCTGCTTTGGAGGGTGGACTCAGTGTCATTATACCATGCTAAGGCCTCTCCTTTCCTGAACCCTAGTCAGGCCTGGGTCCAATAAATCCACCTTCAAAGGCCAAAATAGGCCTGGAAAGGGCCCTCCCCCTTCCCTGCCTTTTTACTCACAAAACCCCAGCCTGGAATACTGTGGTTACCTAGCAACACCCACTGTTTTTTAAAGCTATAGGCACTCCTTTTATCATTTTTTAGTATTTTAAACTACCCAATGCTTTTTTTATTTCTTTTCTTTTCTTTTTTTTTTTTGCAAATCTGGGCCCCTTTTTAGGTTTGGGGAAAGGTTCTTTCTTGCCCATTCATGGCTCCAGTCACAGGATTTAAGTATCCAAAATTTTGCCAACTTCGCTGTTAGAATATAACATAGTACATTTGCATGTAAATGTATGAGAGTCTCTGCTGTACAGTTTAGCTATCCCTCAGTTGCTTCACAAAGAACTCATATGATACCAGTGAATGATATGAGTCAGTGTAGAGTCTGTTCTGTTGTGCATGCTCTTGCTCTAGTGTTAATAACGCATGATTGAATTGGAAGTTACAGTCTTTTCACATTTGAAAATAACAATTTTACTGTTTCTTTTCGAAGATCTTTCCATAATCAGGACAAGTTTAACCTTTAAGCTTAATGAAGGAAAATGTAACTTGAGAAAGAGTAAGACGTTGCGAGATGCTCTGCATCATGTAATGCAAGGTATGTATTACTGTATGTGATACAAACACTATGGATCGTAAAGCCTGTCCCCAAGGCTTTTATGGTGTGATCTGCTGCCGATCATGAAAGGTCTTTGGTGTCCTCTAGTCATGATCCACAGGGACATATTTTTGGTGCAACCTGAATAGTTGTTTCCATGCAACCCTTCCACCATACAGTGCTGCTGTAAGGAGTCGGTTCAGCCCCTTCCTACAGTGCTGCTATAGACTGTTCTGCCCCACTTCCCCCGAATTACCCCCTATAATAAGGAGCCAGTACCCTTCTTGGAAGAGGTGATTCAGAAATCAGGGAGGCAATGAGGAAAGCAATAACATTCACAATTCAACTGCGGAAGGATCCGATCAAATGGGGGAGAGAGTTATTGGAGGAAGTTTTTTTGCTTTTATTTGTTCATTTAATTCATTTATACCCCGCCTTTCTGCCCAGTGGGGACCCAGAGCAGCTTACATCCTTCTCCTCTCCTCCCTTTTATCCTCACAACAACCCTGTGAGGTTGGTTCAGCTGAGAGAGTGTCACTGGCCCAAGGTCACCCACGGCACGAGTGGGGATTCAAATCTAGATCTCCCAGATACTAGTCTGACACTCAGGGCTATTTTTGGGCAGGAACGCACAGGAACGGAGTTCCGGCTGGCTCCTGAGTTGGCCACGCCCAGCAGGAGCTCATTAGCATAACAGGCCACACCCAACAGCAGAAACTCATTGGGATGGGCTACATTAGGGGTGTGTGGCCTAACATGCAAAGGAGTTCCTGCTACAATAAAGCCCTGGGTTTTGACAACAAACAAGGTAGAATAAGAAGCAAAAGGTGGATGTGGCTGGATGACCACACTTCTGGTAATATGGGGGTGTGGCCTTAAATACTAATGAGCTGTACTATCAGGGGTGTGGCCCAATATGCTAATGAGTTTCTGCTGTTGGGCATGGCTCATTATGCTAATGAGTTCCTGCTGGGCTTTTTCTACAAAAAAAGCCCTGCTGACAGTCTTAACCATGACACCACCACTGGTTCTCTCATCTAATCTAAGTAGTCTGAGAGTGTTTCACTTATGATGATTGGGAAGAGGCAGCAGTCTGCACAGATTAGAATGAAAATCCTGCTATGACATTGGTGTGCAGTTCAACAGAAGTAGGCACAGGACTGGACTGGTAGTAGTTAAATAAATGCATCTTCATGTCTCTGGGCCAAACTGCATGCCAAGTTTTCCACATGGTTTTCACAAGGGACTTGTAGCCATACACCAGCTGTAGCTTCCTCGTGGCTCCTGCACCCCCTTTCCCCCAACCTGAATCTTCAGTGTGTATGCGTGTGGGGGGGGGGGGCGGTATTTACCCTGTGCAGAGGTTTGTCGTTCACCTGAAGCATCTTCACACATTACAGAGTACACAGGTGGGATCTGGAGTCCCCATTCTGCATCCTGTAACAGAGATGATTTGCAGGTTTTCCTTAGTTCCTGTACATATGTCCTGACTCAGATCATGACTGTGGTGTACGTAGAAAAGGGATTTCAACCTTCTTGCTGCCCCCTCCCCTCCCCTGACTTGAGACAGTCTGGTCAGGTAAATGGCATGGTAGTGGGAGGTTGAAGCTCATTCTCTACATGTGCCAGAGTCACAATCTGAATCGAGCACTGCACACGTGAGAACTGAGGAGAACACATAACTCTTGCCTGTTACACAAATTGGGAACTGTGAACCTAACTGTGTACTCCATAATAAATCAAGAGACCCTTATTCTTTTGCTCTTGCATCCCCTTCCCTCTGTCCCTAGCATGTAGAATGCAATTGACGGTTTTCTGGTGTGGGGAACCTTGAGTCATGCTCCAGTTCACTATGGGTGCGTTCAGACGGGGGATTTACAACGGTTAGGGTGCCGGTTCCAACCAGTATACTTACGGGCGTTCACACGGCGAACATCTGCCTCCCGTCCCTAACCGTTGTCAATCCCTTTAAACCGTTGCACTCTGCCACTAGGTCCGAAGTGGTGGTAAACAGAGTGCAACGGTTGTCATCGCTGTACCCCGGCGTCTGATCGCTCTCCAAACATTGTACAGCCACTTCCGTCGGAAGCCCGAGGCTTAAAAAAAACTTAGCAATATGCGCTCGGGCGAAGCATCGCCCTGAGCGTTTTTTTTTTTTTTTTAAAGAAACCCTTACTTTAACTTCCCTCCCCGGCTCGTCCGGATGAGCAGCTGGGGGGGAGGGACGGGGCAGCACCCACCCCAGCCAAAGAGGGCGGCGGCAGCAGCAGCGGCAGGAGGAGGGAGGGGGCCGAGTCCCGGGAGCAGCAGCAGCAGCAGACCCCCCCATCCCATCCCACCCGCAGGGAGCGTGCAGGTGTGTGCATGCTGGGCCGGGGGGGTGGCGGATCCCTTACCGGGGCGAGCATGGCGGAGGGGAGGGGCAGGGCCGCGGCCGGCCGCTGACCCGGATCCGCTTGGCATGCCGTCCCTCCGTCCGTCCGAGTTTCCGCCAGCGGCTGCCAGGCCGACCCCCCCTCGACCGCCCAGCCCGGAGAGGTTGGCGCAGCCTCCGGCGCTGCGCCGCCCAGTCCAGCCCCTGCAGAAGATGCCGCGGTCCGGCCGCCAGAGACCCCTCCGACGGGGGCCTCTGAGCGCGTGCAGAGCGCTGGGAAGGGACCACGGCTGAGCCTCTGCCTCGCCCCACCGCTTCCGCCCAGGGTGCCTCTCCGCCTCCTGCCCCCCCCCAGACCCAGCGAGGCGGGCTGGGCCGAGGGGGCCCTGGGAGCTGCCGGGCAGAGCGAGGGCTTGAGCCCAGGGCCCCGCCGACACCCTCTGACTACTGCGGCGCTCCAGCCCCACCTGCTTCAGAACTTCACGTGTGATCGCGTTTCTGCCGGCATAAACTGCACCGGTTCCGACCGGTGCAGTTTATGCCGGCAGAAAAGCCCCCGTCTGAACGCACCCTATGACACATAAATGTGGATTCTTGGTGTAAGTGCTTATTTCCGCAACTTTGGATTCTAGACTTTGGCTTAATTCCAGTTTAGAGTCTTGTTTTATTTATTTATTTATTTATAATCAAATTTATACCCCGCCCTCCCCACAAAGCAGGCTCAGGGCGGCTTCCAACAACAATACAACAATACAAAATAAAAGCATAAATAGTTCAGAATTAAAACACGACAATTAAAATAATGCATTACAAATGTTACAAAGTATTGGCAGCAGATAAGACAAACAAATGAGATGTATTCAAATGAAAGTGCTTCAATGTTATTCCACATAAGTGTTTGAATGTTATATTGCTCATTCTTGAGGCAGCTGCTGATGTCAACATTACGGGCCGTGCACTAAGATGATGGCGGCCCCTAGCTATATGCCTGGCAGAAGAGCTCCGTCTCGCAGGCCCTGTGGAATTGTGAAAGGTCCCGCAGGGCCCTGATCTCCTCCGGGAGCTTGTTCCACCAGGTAGGGGCCGTCACCGAGAAGGTGGTCATGAACTGAAACAATAAAGTGAGATGCTTTAACTTGCTTGCATGTGGTCTGATAAACTTGGGCTCCTTTGATTTGATCCTTCTGCAGCTGAGGCTCCAATGCGATTGATATTCTCACTGTGCCTCCCTGACTACTGAGATGGAGCAGGTTGTACAGCAACACAATAGGAAGGAGGCCTTCATTATAGCCTTTCAATTTGTGGAAGAGTTGCATGGAAACAGAATTATTCAGCTTGATGCTAAAAGATGAGAGATATGAGGGAACACACAAACACAAGCTGCTTTCTTCCAGTCACAAATGAACCAGTGTGTGTTGTGATGTCGGAATGAAACCTCAGGCTCTCAGTGGTTGGTTGGTGGGAAAAGCTTGTATTACTTCTGTTTCTGCAGATGGAGAATCATAGAATCATAGAGTTGGAAGGGACCTCCAGGATCATCTACTCCAACCCCCTGCACAATGCAGGAAATTCACAAATACCTCCCACTCACACCCCCAGTGACTGCTGTTTCATGCCCAGAAGATGTCAAAAAACCTCCAGGATCTCCAGCCAAATTGGCCTGGAGAAAAATTGCTTCCTGACCCCAAAATGGTGATCAGCATTTTCCTGGGCGTGTACATAAAAACATAAGAGAAGCCAATGTTGGATCAGGCCAATGGCTCATCTAGTCCAACACTCTGTCACACAGTGGCCAAAAATACCAGGTGCCATCAGGAGGTCCAGCAGTAGGGCCAGGACACTAGAAGCCCTCCCACTGTTGTCCCCAAGAACCAAGAATACAGTGCATCACTTGCCCCAGCCTGAGAGTTCCTATCTGTACCTTGTGGCTAATAGCCACTGATGAACCTCTGCTCCATATGTTTATCCAATTCCCTCTTGAAGCTGTCCATGCTTGTAGCCACCTCCTCCTGTGGCAGTGAATTCCATGTGTTAATTACTCTTTGGGTGAAGAAGTACTTCCATTTGTCTGTTCTAACCGAACTGCTCAGCAATTTCATTGAGTGCCCACGAGTTCTTCTATTGTGAGAAAGGGAGAAAAGAACTTCTTTCTCAACCTGCTCTATCCCATGCATAATCTTATAAACCTTGATCATGTCATCCCTCAGCTGTCGTTTCTCCAAGCTAAAGAGCCCCAAGCGTTTTAACCTTCCTTCATAGGGAAAGTGTTGCAACCCTTTTATCATTCTAGTTGCCCTTTTCTGCACTTTTACCAATGCTATAATATCCTTTTTGAGGTGTGGTGACCAGTACTCCAAATGAGGTCGCACCATCAATTTATACAGGGGAATTATGATACTGGCTGATTTGTTTTCAGTTCCCTTCCTAATAATCCGAGCATAGCATTTGCCTTTTTTATTGCAGTTGCACACTGTCTCGAAGGGCCACAAGAACTAAGCACTGATGCAACCCGTCCTGCCCTCCCTTTCATGATCTGCCTAAGTTCACAGAATCAGCATTGCTGACAGATGGCTATCTAACCTCTGTTTAAAAACCTCCAAAGAAGGAGAGCGCACCACCTCCCAAGGAAGCCTGTTCCACAGAGGAACCACTCTAACTTTTAGGAAGTTACTTCCTGATGTTTAGCTGAAAACTGTTTTGAATTCAGGGCTATTTTTGGGCAGGAAGGCACAGGAACGGAGTTCCGGCTGGCTTCAGAGTTGGCCACGCCCAATACAGTCAAAACCTCTGCATGCGTGGCTACAGAGGGAAGGCCTGGAGAACGACCCCCCCGGCGACTCTGAGGCAGGTGGGCCAGGAGGGGCCCTGGAAAAATCCCCAGCCTGTCCAAGGGCCAGCCTGTCCAAGGGCCAGCTTGCCCTTAAACTGCCTCCCCTCCCCTCCAAGGGCCGGCTTGCCCAGCGGGCCCACCCCGCAGCTGCGGGGCATCCGTACAAGCCAAGGGCAGGCATGGGGTGTGGCCTAATATGCTAATGAGCTGTGCTGTCAGGGTATGGCCTGTTATGCTAATGAGCTCCTGTTGGGCTTTTTCTACAAAAAAAGCCCTGCTTTTGATTTAATTTCAACCCGTTGGTTCTGGTCTGACCTTCTGGGGCAACAGAAAACAACTCCACACCATACCATGACAGCCCTTCACATACTTGAAGATGGTTATCATATCACCCCTCAGTCATCCCCTCTCCAGGCTAAACAAACCCAGCTCCTTCCACCTCCCTCATAGGACTTGTTCTCCAGACCCCTCACCATTTTCATTGCCCTCCTCTGGATACGTTCGAACTTGTCTATTATCTTTCTTAAATTGTGTTGCCCAAAACTGAATACTCTAGGTGAGGTCTAACCGGCGCAGAGTAAAGTGATACCATCACTTTGCGTGATCTGGACACTATACTTCTGCTGATAAAGCCCAAAATTGCATTTGCCTTTTTAGCTACTGCATCACACTGCTGACTCATGCTCAGTGTATGGTCCACTAAGACTCCTAGATCCTTTTCACACATACTACTGTCAAGACAAATCTCCCCATCCTATAATTATGCATTTAATTTTTCCTACCTAAATGCAGAACTTTACATTTCTCCCCATTGAAATTCATCTCATTTGTTTTAGCTCAGTTTTTCAGCCTGTCAAGATCATCCTGTATCCTGACTCTGTCTTCTACCGTATTTGCTACCCCTCCCAATTTAGTATCATCTGCAAATTTAATAAGCATTCCCTCTATTCCTTCATTCAAATCATTGATAAAGATGTTGAACAAAACAGGTCCCAGGACAGATCCTTGAGGCACTCCACTTGTCACTCCTCCTCCAAGAAGATGAGGAACCGTTTACAAGCACACTTTGGGTGTGATCTGTCAACCAGTTACAGATCCACATAACAGTCATAGGATCCAAACCACATTTTACCAATTTGTCAACAAGAATATTATCTGGAACCTTATCAAAAACCTTGCTGAAATCAAGATAAATTATGTCTACAAAATTCCCCTGATCCAGCAAGGTAGTAACTTTGTCAAAAAAAAGAGATAAGGTTAGTCTGACATGACTTGTTCTTAAGAAACCGATGCTGGCTCTTAGTAATCACAGCCGTCCTTTATAAATGCTCAAGGACTGTCTGTTTGATGATTTGTTCTAAACCTTTCCCAGGTATAGACATTAAGCTGATGGGCCAGTAGTTACACAGATCCTCCTTTTTCCTCTTCTTGAAGATGGGGGCAACATTTGCCCAACTCCAATCTTCTGGCACCTCACCTGTTCTCCAAGAATTCTCAAAAATAATGGACAGAGGCTCAGAAATTACATCCGCAAGTTCTTTTAGTACACTTGGATGCAGTTCATCCGGCCCTGAGTACTTAGTTTCATTTAAAAACACTAGGTGTTTATGTACTACCCCTATGCCGATCCTAGGCTCTCTTCCCTCATCATGTGTTCTGTTTTTGCCATATTGAGCACCATTTCCCTTGCAAGAGAAGACTGAGGAATAGTAGGAATTGAGCAGTTCTGCCCTCTCTTCATCACCTGTTACAATTTCACTTTCTTGTCCCCGCAATGGGCCTACTATGTCCTTGCTCTTTTTCTTACTTTGAATATAAGAAAAGAACCCTTTTTTGGTGTTTTTAGTGTCTCTTGCTAATAAGCTTTAGCTTTCCTAACTCTCTCTCTACAAGCACTGGTTATTTGTTTGTATTCATCCTTGGTTAGAAAGCCCTCCTTCCACTTTCTATAAATGAGTCTTTTTTATTTCTCAAGTCTTTAGAAAGCTGTTTATGGAGCCACCTTGGCTTCTGTAGGCTCCTCCCATTTTTCCTTCTCATAGGAATTGTTTTTTTGATTGTGCTTAATTTCACTTTTAAGAAACTCCCATCCCTTTGAACTCCCTTCTCCTTAAGTATTCCTGACCATGGGATTCTACTCAGCATAACTTTAAGCTCGTCAGAATTTGCTTTCCTGAAGTCCAACCTATATGTCTGACTATGTACAGCTCTTACCTTCCCCAAGACTGTAAATTCCAAAATGACATGGTCACTGCTGCCCAGGGTGCCCACTACTTTCACCTCATCAACCATTTCTTCCCTGTTTGTAAGAATCAAGTCCAAGATACCAGATCTTCTTGTTTCCCCTCTCCACTTTCTGTTCTTTTATCCTGAAGGAAGAACATAGGCATACATACCTCATAGAGAGAGCTGGAGCATTCTCATTGTAGGCCAAATAGAGGCAAATTCCATGCAACTTGAGCTTCCATCTAGCAATGGATTGCTCCGTACCTTCAGAACCATGGTTCTGATTATCCCTCAAGAGCTAGAAACGATGGCTAATTATGCAAAAATAAATAAGCGTTGTAGACTGCTCCCCTTAAGGAGCCAGGTGTGACATGCACAATCCATTTAATGTGTCAAGGTTGTGTGTTAAATCTGTCCTTCGTAGCCTGCCTGCTCATGTGATGGTTTACAGTTCAGACCATGCTTGTAAATACTTCCAGATTTGTTTGCCAGTGAGTGACATGATGTAGGATAAACTGCCGGCTGAGTGTGTAGTACTGCAAATTCACAACTTCTTGGTCACAAGTCTAAGTCCATCTGGATGCACTCAACCCACAATTTCAATGTAGGTTATGATCTCATCACTAATTTGGGTCTGATACATGTTTGGCTGAGATTCCTCCATGAAGCAGTTGTGTACCAATTGCAGTTGAAACTAGGCCCGTATACCAAACTGTGCCATCTAGTGTAGTTGCTTGTAGTTTGTTAGCATCTGGAACTAATCATATAGCCTGTTAACCATTTCCCTGGTAATATTTACTGCGCTTTAGCAAACACCCAAATAGCATAGATGGCCAAGCTGTTGCTTCCTTTAATTTTGTTCACACAGAGAAACATAATTCAGTAATGGAGACCTTCTACTATGTAAAGCTAACATGCGTTTCTGGCAAGAGAGTTCTTGGAGACCTCAGCAGATTGAAGGCAGCTAGAGAAATGTTTATATCTGCGGACTTTGAACTTGAAACAAACCAAAAGGAGGTGACAGGTTGGTTGTAAAAGAACCTACGATACAACTGAAAGATTTTGTTTTGAAGAGATCTTGTTGTTGCAGTTTGAGCCATGATTTCTCTCTTTCACTTTCATCTTTTATGCAAAAAAGTATCTCCTGTTTTGAACCTTTAATATCCCTTTCTCTGAAGAACAGAAAGCTACTTTGATGCAAAGTTTATTCTTTTATATTACTATTTACGTTGGGCTGTCTTGAGAACTTTAACACATAATAATGTCATTGCCGTATTTAATACTGTCTATGTTTCCCAGTTATTGCATGGACTACTCTTTTTAACCCTGTACTGTATTCAGTGCCTTCTTCTCCTGACTATCACCATCTTTACCTTTCTAGAGACATGTAATTTGAATTGTGTACGTAAAAGGACTGAGAAGAGGCTGCGTAAAGCAATTAGAACTTTGCGGAAAGTGATCAACAAAGAGCAATTGCACATTCGCCTGGCTGGTATGGATCATGACGTGGCCAGAAAATCTCCCAGAGTACTGGATGCTCAAGAGCTGTGTAGCCTAGGTCAAAGGCATGTGGATAACAGATGTGGTAAGCACAGTATTGATCTGATGCGTTGATTTGATGCACGTGTCACCTGTATCTGACCAGTCAGTAATATACATCTGACTTGCATCAAATTAATCGGAAACATCAGACTACTGGTGTGACCATGGCAGTATCACATTGATTCGAAGAGGATCAAGTTTCCCTGTTTCACTGCGCCACATAAATATATAACGGAAAGCTTGCAAATCTAATCTTGAAACGGCAGGCTTAGTCTGATGTGTCCTCAGTATTGTGCTCCTTGGAGACTGCAGCAGATTAAAGATGGATAAAGAAATGTTTCTGTCGGTGGACTTGCATTGTTTCCAAAGCTGAGGCAATAACTCTTAAGCCTTTTCCTTATTTTTTGCACAGTTGTTCAGACTGTTATTATCTATCTGTTCCATAATTCCCCTTAGTGTAAAAAATAGCACTCTACAGTAGCCCTGCTGCTTCAGAATAACCCAGTAATTGCAGGTGTACAGTGTGGTTCTAACACAAAAGTTTCAATAATTAGTGATCAACATTTATTTGCATTTTGCATAGCAGATGTTTACTCTGTGTGTCTCCTGATGAATACTGTAAAATGATAACGTAAAGGTATGTGTCTCTTTTCAGTCCTGGGTGAACACACATGCTTCCTGGCATTTAACCATTGTATATTTGTAAGCATGTCTCCCATTCACACTTTATAGCTTCTCAGGGCACCAAGCCCAGAGGAAGGGAAGGAAATTGTAAGCCGCTTTGAGACTCCTTAGGGTATATAAAAGTGGGATATAAAAACCAACTCTTCTTCATATCGGCAACACAGTGTGAATTGGCCCTCCAGTACAAGTCCACTATTAGTACATGAAGTACCTTTTCAGCAAACAAAAATGTACTAGCTTGGAGTATGGACTTGACCCTTAGGTTCTGAAACAACAAAAGTAGGGAAGTTTTAAAAATAAAACGTACATTTGTTAGAACAACTGCTTATGCACCTATTCTCTGCGCATTACAACTTGAGAGTGGTTTTTTCCCCCCTTCACTAAGAAAAGATTTTGAAAGGCATGCCAGGATGGAATTTCCCCCCCCAAGCCCATAGATAAATAGCTATCTATTCTGCCAATCCACAGTTCCAAGAATAATGGACTTAAGACCTGAAGCACATCTATTCTCCATATGACCACAGTCTGTGAACCAGTTAAAAACTAAACAAAAAGATCCTAAAAACAATACGGAGAACTGCTTAGAAATAAGTTTCCATCGTTTTACGGCTCTTTTAATGAAGTCAGGGCATGGTTTTTAAGGGAATGGTTAGTTGTGGATCACGACCTCTTTTATGAGGTTCACCTTCTTAGACACTGAGACACTATAGTGTTTGTCCATAGCATCAAAAACTCAAAGGCTTAAAGTGTTGAATAGAAGGAAAGAGGTTTTAACTGTCTTTATAACTACTAATCCTGGCTCCCTGTGAGTGCCCCTCTCTCTCTCTCTTTCTTTTGCATCAGAATAGCTTTTGCTTTCCCCCCCCCAAACAGCTGCCTGAGAGTTTAGAATAGGATTTTAATGGTCGTTGAAGACAAACAAAGATGGAGGTTACAGGAATAAAGTCCCACAGAAGGCAATTGGTTCTTTAGCTCATTTGAAAGGAAAACAAGCAGGTTGCAAAGAAAGAAAGAACAAGTGAAGAAAGCTTGCTGAGTCCTTGATGTTGTAGTGTCATTATTTTCGAGTCTTTGGTCTGTGTTTGAAAACAGACACATCTTGTGTACTGTGACACACTGGCATTTTGCGTGATGTGACTAATACACTTTTTGGCTTCATTCAAGTCAATATTTGTACAGAAAAAGTCGATCCCCTGACACTTTTATTTAAGATTTCTGCTTAAAGAAAAATCATTACTTGCTTATTTGTATGAAGTAGTATGCTGAAACATGCTTGCACATCCATTGATCTTTAGGGGCACATCATAAGAGGACAACTTGCTACAAGCAAACATTGATCTTAAAAGATTTCTCTAAATAGATTTGAGTCATTTGTAGCATGTCACATCTAATGAGCTGTGAATAAGGGACTCGTTTAAAAAGATGAAAGCGTGCAGGGGAATGTGTTAGATTCTTGAAAAGGTATTTTGGGAATATCGGACTGGGAATCAGTAATCTGGAAGGATGGTGCTCTTTAAAACATCATCAGTACATAGCCTTTACTTGGGGGCGGGAGGCATAAGATTTCAGTACCCATTTGCTCTTTTCCAATTCGGTGATATATGAACCAAGCTTTGTTTGAATGAATGTTTTATTTTTACTGTCTTGAAGTAAACTCTTAATTCTTCAAAACAATTGACAGTTGTGGTCTCTGTACACCACACTTATGGACCTCGCACCTGCACAAAGCCATGCTTTGGAAAAGTCCAGGCAGAGCTTTTAGGTGTGAAACCTCCCTGTCAGAAATGCAGTCGCAGACTGCAGTAGGCCTAAAAGAGGAAGAGTCACACCTTTCCACTTAGAGGCCACTCTCAGGGACAGTCCAGGCTCAATCCTTCAGAGTGGCCTGTTCATCTTCTACCTTCAGCAGAGGGGTTCTTTTTCCTGAGCCCTGCTGAGGAGCCCTCAGGGTCCAGCCTTCTACCTTGATGAGGCACTGTACCCTGAATGTCAGAGTCAGAGCAGATACATCGTTCAGCTGACCTGTCCTTTCCCTGAAGTACCCATGGCCCACTTCCAGGTAGGCCGGCTTGCTAGTGTATATCCACCAGTGTGATGCATAGAAACAAAAAAGGAATAAAAGCAGCCTTACTTACCTGTAGCAGTCATTCTTAGAGTAGTAATCTGTGCATTTCCATGTTTTTAACTTGCGGTGTCATAATCTTACATTTTGGAAGGCACAGCTCCTCCCCTTTTAGGCATGCACGGTCTGAAGCTGCGTTTCTGAGGGAAGGAGATTTTCATGCTTCTCTAAAAGCCAGTTATAGAAGATCTTCGACGTGTTCTCTGTGCTTCACACCCATAAGATCTAGTGCGCACGCGCTGGATCGATCGGTGCTGTAGCAAGCTCTTTTAACGGATTTTCACGCCCAGTCCCTTGGGCATGCGCAGGAACCCCACCGCGTGTGCCCAGAGGGGTGGGTGCGGACATCCCGCCAGTTCCTTTCTTAGCGCCACGTTGAGTAGACCTCTTCTTTGTCGGTCCGATCAGTTCGCTGTTAGCTTTCGCCTCACAGCTCTTAGGAATTATTTCCAAACTTTCTTTTACTTTAATTTTTGGTTGTTTCTTCTTCAAAAACAGTTAATTTTTTTTTTTTTGCTTTCTGCTGAGGGGGACTTTACTTCAGGCCGGGCTACCCCCCCCCAAACATTCCTTCTCCTTCTTTTCTTGTATGGAGAAGAAGTGGGGATTTTTTAATAGGTGCAAGGGTTGTGGTAGCAAACGTGCTCCACCCGACTGTCATACCCTCTGCATTTTTTGCCTCGAAGAGTCTCACCAGCCAGAGTCCTGTCGTCACTGTGCGCGTTTCTCCAACCAAACGAGAAAAAAACGTGCTGCGTGCCTTAAAGTGGCGCTGCTTGAATTGGCCACTTCATCCTTGGCCATCATCGATGGAGGAGAGACCATCTACATCGACAGCTCCAGCATCGAGACCTGCCTCCGATGTCGACCGCCCGACGCCGAAGCTCCTGACATCAAAGGCACAATCGTCCGCTTCCACGCCAGTCAAAAAGAAGGCTAAGGCAAGTAAGGATCATAAGTCCGCTAAGAAGGGCACCACCAAGCCCCTGAAGGCAGCGAAGAAGGGGAAGGAAGCGGTGTCTGCACTGGGTGATGCCCCTAAAGTGCCTCCCGCTCCAACAGCAGTATCGATATCGGAGGCCCAAGTCCCTCCACTGATACCGACCATCCATGTTTTGGACTCCCCTGTCCACCAAACGGAGCGCCCTTACTCCGACATCGAAACGGTAGAGCTCCTAAGTCATCAAATGGATGCAGAGTCTTCTCCGTCTCCTTCCCCGTCATTGACGGTATCAGAAGCTCCCGACATCGATCCACGTCGGCACCGATATACTTCATGCGACACGCAGCGTCACCCTCCATGTCTGCACGATCAATCTGTCGATATCGATGACCGAGACTATAGGGACGGCTCTCACAGACGGGCTGCTGCTTTGTCTCCCAGACGTCCGCAGTCCAGAAGTCGCTCCCTAAGAGTCTTCCTGCCCCCCCCCACCAATGTCGTGGGATCAATGACAGTTGAGGTACCTGTACAGGGCTTATCCACCATCCATGCCATGGTTGACTCCGGTGGGCTATTCCGATTAGGATCGCTATTCGTCCCACTCTGTTCATAGGTCGAGATCGCCCCACAAGTCGAGACCTTCAGCATCTCTGTCGCATCCTCCTACAGTCGATCCTTCCCACCATACTCTGGAACCAAGTTGTCCTGTCAACCCTCTGGTCACTCCAACCCCGGTCGTCACTGTCGTCCAAACTAAAACCATAACTTGTCAACAGGAAACTTCAGTCCAAATACCACAACAACTGACTTCTCTGACTTCATAGAAGAGGACTCAGATACGGAGGCTTCTGAAGCTCATACCTTACCTGACCATACATCTCCAAACCAGGATGTCGTTGAGGACTTACCCGTATCCCCATCCGACAACCTTACATCTTACACAGATCTAGTCAAAAGAATGGCCCACTCTTTAGGCCTCTCTGTCGTCCAGCAGCATCCAC